TTCTGGACTTCATGTTGAAGTGAAAAATGGGCCCACAGTGAGTAAAACTGTGTCGGGAGCAAAGATCAGAGGGTTCAACTCATGTTCAGAAGCTTTTAAACTGTTTGAACCAACACATGTCGACTGTTTGCCTCTTTTCTCTTCATGTTGTTGACTTACTGTTTTATTATTTTCATTTTATTGTTACAAAGCAAACATTAGTGTCAGTAAACTACGCAGCTTATCAAAATGACAATAATACGAGTTTTTGCATTTATTTTCCCGCCTTCCTTTAAATGTTGTAAATGTACAAAAGCAAAGTGGGAGAAATGAGAAACGCAGGAAAAAAGAGGACGACACTGCAAACAACTCATAGGAAATAATTACGATACAGGCAGACTCATATCATCTGAGGACGAGAATAAACTGTTGTTCTATGTTGAGCAGTAAAAAGGAAACTGATTTAATACTTCATAAAACTATGATGTAATGTTGTTGTAATGTATGATTTTGTTATTGAATACTATGTGAGTGTTTTATATTACCTTTATTTATATAACACCATTAAAAACACCCTGAAGGCAAAATAACAACAGAAATCCACACATTCAGGGGAACAGAGCAAAAGTTAGGTGAAAAAATAAAGTTCAAATCAATATCAGCTTAAACTAAAGGATTTGAGTTTTTATTTTTATTTGTTTTATTTTATTTTTTCCAAATTATACATCGTAAATAATAGATATTCTGATTTGTAAATATTCAGTTCGACGGACTGCAAATGAGCCTCAGACATGAAAAAAGAAAAGATGCTGGCAGTCAGGAAGCGCTCCGGTTTGACCTGTCACCCGGCAGTAGTCGGTGACCGTGTCGGTGCAGCACATAGACGGTACCAGCAGAGAGTCGCCACAGTCCAGCCTCCAGCAGCTGCAGACACATCAGATCCTCCCGCTGACTGACAGGATCATGTCCGGACTGCAGAGTCTCAAGGCTTTTATCAGCCAGCGGCTCACCGCGGCGGTGGACGACGTCCTGGGACACCTGGAGAGAACCTTCCGGGAGTACGAGGAGGAGACGGAGCGCCGCCACCGGGACCTGCTGGAGGTGTTTCTGACGGCGGAGACGAAGCACCGCAGCGCAGGTCGGTTCTTCCAGCTGCTGGGAAACACGTCTGCCGAGCTTACGGCTACTAACCCTCCAGGAACAGTCTGTTAGCTGCTGCTACTAATGCAAACAGCTTGTTAACTGCTGCTAAAGTGAACGATCTGTTAGCTGATTTTGCTATAAAGCAAAAAGTCTATTAGCCGCTGCTAAGTGCTCCTTCTGTAGTATACAGGCTGTTAGCTACAGTTAGCTGCTGCTACTAATGTAAACAACCCATTAGCTACAGTTAGCTGCT